GCTTACCATATCCGCTGGAGAGGGTAACATTTTCGTACCTCGCTGTTGCCAGTGCTTTTTCGTTATACTTTTGTTCCAGTTTCTTCCAGTCCGTCAACTCTTCCGCTGTAATTTTTTCAAATATTTCACTGTTATTATTATTGGCCTTAGTTTTTTGTATGCAGTTCATTGGTTTCTGGAAGCTACAGGGACTCAGCAAGAGACAAGACAGGAAAAGAAGAAGCCATTCTTCTCCCTCGAAATCTCCTTATTTAATTAACAGACCACTATGGCTGGAATCACAGTAGAAAATTACTTAACGAATTGTTCGAAGAGATCGATGAGAGGAAGGCTCGTGGTACCCCGGGCCCTCGACAGCTCAAGATATACTGGTCAGCATCTCTGGAAAACATCACATCCTGGAATGTGCATTCCGGCGCGACGCCACACGTAACGCATTTTGCTGGACTGTCAATTTTGGCCTGAAATTTTTCTGTTGCAGCTGCAAGCTGTCCCGCAACTATTAATTATCAGAAAAAAAGTGCTTTGGGCCGGTTATCAGTCATCAAAAATTACCGCATGATGTGATGTTGCGTAGAGATGTCTTTGAGAGGGCAATGGCGATGCGGCCATAAAATATCTGAAAAATCTGCGATATAATTAATTAATAGGAGACGGGTGCACAGCCACGCAGGGCTGTTTCTTCCCATAAGCACTGATACCTCTGCAACGAGATCGGGGACAAAAAACATTTCTTTCTGCTTCAGTGGCTCCATAAGCGCACCAGGGTACGAACTGGGATTACCCAGTTCAGCATCAAAGGGTTTTTAAAATCAGCTGAGCTCAGTATGTGGGAGCATCCTATTAACATCAGTGATGATAATCGTACCGGCTGCTGCCCAGGCGATTTTGCTAACGATGGTAGAAAACGGTGCCTCAAATTTTCTGAAGACAAAGTTCTCGATTCTCCGGCCAGATGCAGCAATCCTCCTCTTAATTTTGCCTACCTTTTCATCCCTTCTTCTACTTTCCCACTTCGGACAGTTTTGGCCCTTCTTTCAAATATTTGTGATGATAAGAAAAATGCACGATTTACTTGCAAAAGAAACTTGGGAACTGCAAAAATTTATGAACTATACTGCTTACACCAGCCCAGTTTTCGGATTGTAACCATTGATTGACGTAACATCATAGTTACCAGATGTGATAAGTACTGCACGGCCATTGGTGAGATTCCTCTGAAATTTAAAGAAATTTTTTCAAGCAGAGGTCAGTCAGTGATCACTCTGGCAATTTTTCGTCATCGCCTCACTTTCCCACACTTTCATCTTTCATCGTTCGTCGAAAATTCCTCATCACTTCGAAAATCATAAGACAAAATTCAGTTTTAATATATACATACCGGCACAGTTACACGAGCAAGTTGAGTAAATATTTCGCCGTTGGCAGATTTGCCGGGCAAACAAACAAAGTAGGAATCGTTTGAGAAATGCTGGATACGATGATTTTCTGGCTCAGCCCACAATCGATGCCGATCGATGCCGTAGTACTGGTCGAAATTCTACAAAAATTAAGAAAATCAGAACAAACGATTAGCAGATATGGCATTTCCCAT